ATCAGGTAGGCAATCTACCTGCGGTAGATCGCGGACCCCGTGCTGTTTGTACGGAAGTGTATGATTTAACTCTAAAGTATCAAAGTTATACCAAGTTTATTTTGATGTAATACTGTGGATTAATATAATAAATTTGGTTGCTCGTAAAAAATCGCAACTCTTAAAAAAATTATGATTGTTGAACTCCTTTTGGGTGTAATTTTCTGCGGTAAGTGCAACTCTGCCACCCTGGTAAGCATTGTTCAATAATTCGATTTGATGCAAGCTTGTACCTGATCTGCCCGAATAACCAATGGCAACCAATAAATAAATGCTAATTTCTAATGTAGACTGTAACCAATGGCAACTATAAATAAATAAAAATAAAATTTCCAATTTCTATCGTGAATCTCAATGTCCCTGTTTCAGCACCTATTTAAAATGCGAATTTTGGCAAATCCTTTCTTAGCGCACGTCTATATTATAATAGCTATCCGTATGCCAAATTTCAGCCAGATCCGTCCAATGGTTTGAGCTGTGCGTTGATAGCAGTCAATCAGCTTACTGTTTTTTATATACAGATATGGTTGCCATGGTAATATGGACACACACACACACACTGACATACATTCATTTTTATATATATAGATTGATATGAAATCTTGGTAACCTTAGTGACCATGGCAACCTTGGTAACCATGGTAACATGGACACACAGACACACACACTGACATACATTCATTTTTATATATATAGATAATATATCTTGTTTAATTTAAAAAAATATAACTTTTCAAAAGTGGCTTCTGACGAGTAAAAATAATTGTAAACAATTAATTTTTCAAAGTATCGCACTAATGTATCTAATATATATTAATCTTTCGATTAAATTATATTATGAAATACTTGATACATTAACTAAAAATGTATCGCGATACAAGTTACTCGATACTTCATATAATTTATTGTATCGAGATACAAGATACAAGATACAAGTGTATCTAAGATACGTATCTTAGATACTTATATCGAAGATATTGCCCTACCCTGGGCACAGGAAAATAGGTTTTGGTATTCGTCGAAAAACGCTTATTATCAGATGTGGAGATTGATTGCACAGAATAGCTATTAAGGATAACTTTATATTAAGATACCATACTAGAATTAAGATAATAAAAGAACATCTTATTGCCTAAATCATTGTAAATCTGTTTTCGAAAAAAAAGCTCTCACAAAAATTGCTGCCCCCCCCCCTGGAAAAGTGCGGCCCGAGGCAATTGTCCCCCTTAAATACGCCACTAACAGAAGTCAGTTTAAATATCATCATCATTTTTATTTTATTTTATATTGCGATACTGACTCGGACCCGGAAAAACGATGTTAGAGTTCAAACGTAGCGCGCTCAGTTTCTTAACAACCCACCAGACCATAGTAGTCGACATTTGCGGTGTCGAGGGCCGGAGGGGAGGGGCATGGCGCTTTACAAATATAATACATGTATTTACATATATTAATAATAATTTATTGGGAACAAATTTACTTTGGCGCACACGCAAATTTTTCAATATTTTCCTATTTTCCTAGGTACAATATGTTGCAGATATTAACTGCTTTAAATCGTTAGTTTTTAAGTTTTAGCTTTACGGAATTCACGATTTTCGGTGTCTGCAATATTTTACAGCGCGATTGAAACTTTTCTGTTTCTATACTGAACAACTTTTTTTTCAATTAATTTTTGTTTTAACGTACCTATGGTTGAGAGCTCTGAAAACGACGGGGAAGTCTCGATTCCGGAGTCAGATATTTTATTTTGAAGTTGTAGCTAATTGACATTTCTTGTATTTTCATAAACCCCTCTTCTCCACCACCCACCATCCGAAATTCCCTAGAGCGCCTCTGGACTAAGCGATACCAGCGCGCCGACCGATGACCGCTTGAACGGCACCTCGGTCAACCGGTACGGAGCGGACAGGCTAGCTGTCTTCTTCCGAACACCAATACGCGAACACGTAGTGCGCCTCCGCCAGCCTCAAGACTCGCGTTCGCACATCCGTCAACGAATCGAATATTTTTATTTTCTAAAATTTATCCTTTTGTTTTGTAACGACATACACCTCGTGCGCCATCCGCCATAATTTATTTTGCAATACTATATAGTGTGCTGGTGGCCGAGTTCAACCATTCACAGTGCAGAGGCCAATTCAGTTATACTCGTGTGTTTATTGTTTACCTATATTTATTTTAATCGTGTCGCGTCACCTCCTCGATCACCTCCGCCCACATCCTCGCCCACATCCCCCCAAAAAACACCTGCAGTCGACACCACGACACGTTAAGACGGATACCACTCTCGGCCGTGTCAATACCTAACGGAACGATACGATATTTGCTATATATATATAGTACCAATACAGTAGGTATGCACCTATGCACAATAAATAATTATAATGCGTATAATAACACAATATAAGTAACCGCCAAACTAAACATTGTACGAACATTTTAAAAGTCTCTGTTGCCACGATATTCGAAACTAAATGTATACCAGTGTGGGTTACATTCGTTTTGTAAATTATAGCATAATATCACACACTTATTCGTAACTCGTACAATGTGCCCACAGTTATTCAAAACGAATCGATTGTGCTTAACATTACTTTTTTAGGGATGTATATGTTAAATATACTGTGCACGTACCTGCACCATGATTATCGTTAAGCAGAGGAGATAGACATATTTTATCGAAACAATAGGTATTCAAAGGAGGACATGTATTTTTTTTTTTTAACTTTTTAACCTAACTAGATGGCTTGCAAGAAAAACCTGCACAGTGCACATAGATCATGTTATAACTGTATTGGTACCATTAAATATATTTGAAATTATATTATTTTATTGTTTAATGTATCATATATTTATATTAGTCTGAACGCTCTGAACCTTAAAACTAAAACTATATGAATTCGTTAGAATCGACGCTTATAATTTTTAAATGTCTATATTGCCGGGATATTTGAATCCATATACGACTCGCAGTACAGGTAACAGTCGCTTGTAGAAGTATAGCAGAACCACGATATGCAAGTGTAAAGTATAAAGCAAATTAAAGCAAGCAAAGGTAAAATAACTATATTATCAAGTACCAACTAACTAACAAGTACAAAATCCTATTCAAGTATACAACAGTGGTGAATGGTGGAAACATATTAATTTACCAATACTGTCAACAAAACGTATTTATATATAATTTTTTAATTCATAATGCATAACAATATTATATTAAGGCTGTTGAAAGGGTCGTCTTTTCGTGCATTTATATCAATAAGAAGAAACAACTATACTTCTAGTAATCCAATTTTAATTTTGAAAAAATATTTGAATTAATTATTCTCTAAGTTATTTAGGAAATGGATTTTTGATTTTTTTTCAGTAACACTACTTAAGAAAAGTTATTATAACGGAAATCAATAATCAAAAATAATTAAACACTGCAAAACAAAGCATAACCATTAACAAAATAATATATTATAATATATCATTAAAAAAAACATAAGGTAAAATTTATAGAATATCATTGAACGAAAATAATTCAAACAAAATATTTAAAATCTTTTTTTTATAAAGTCTATTGGTTTCGTAGAAACATTTATTTCATGCAAAAAATCTAAGAATTGATTATATTATATTCCGTATTCGGGCCATTAGGTTAAACATTAGTTATTATTTTAAAATGTAATAGGTATTAACACTATTTTAAATAACGATAAACGCACAACTTGTATAACGTTTTAGTACTAAATAACAATAAACGCAAAACTTGGGTAAAGTTTTAATTCTGTACAGCGATAAACAGAAAACTTGGATAACGTTTTGATTCTAAATAACCGATAAACGCAAAAATTGTGTAACGTTTTAATTGTAAATAACATAAAACTTAATTTCTTTTTAATGCGAGCCTTGTTTAAAATACATTTGTAGCTTGGACATGGCCTGGACTTGGCTCTCATAAAAGAAGTCAGTGCAAAAGATACGTTCAATAATGGAAACAGTCATAATGCTCTTTCGATTAAATGTATACCAATGTCCGTGTAACAACAACAACGCGTATTTGTGTAATGTACCTATGACATGTTGTATGTGTTTCGACATTCTTTGGTATCACTTAATAATTTAGTAAAAATTGAATATTATTTCATCAACGATATTAACTCTACAGAAAAAAAATTTTTTTTAAAAAACACTTTTCTAAAAAACAAAAAAATAATGAAAAATTTAAAAGTATGTGGTATAATATGTCAAGTGTAAGAGCGCCACACACTTTTAAATTTTTCATTATTTTTTTGTTTTTTTAGAAAAGTGTTTTTTAAAAATAATTTTTTAATTTTTTATTTTCTACTTTTTAGTTAAAAATTTTTTTACGGATTATTGTATTGTCATCCAAGACCAAGGTCTATACCAATTTTCAGAATTTTCATCTTCAAAAAGTGCCTCAAATCGAGTGCGCAAGATTTGATCACAGACGGACGTGAAACCAAACTTAAGAAAAGTGTTAATAACAATAATCCTTAACACAAAAATTAAAAATCAAATATTAAAGTATACATTTTGAATTTTTATTTCTTATGTTAAACTTGCTTTGAACACTTGCCAATAAATTATATTACTAAAATTGAAAAAATCAATGTTAGCAGTATTCAATGCTACCATTTATTTTTCGTTTGTAGAAGAAGATTTCCCTTTTGTTTAATATATCTGTTATTTATGTAGAGAAAAATATCTCAATTTAACATAAACTATGTGAACCAATAATAATCAGCTGCACTGTAATGGCGAGATGAGGTGTAATTGGTGGAATGGAATATTATTATAAATTGTGTATAATATATCTACCTATATTACGGTATCGGAAACAATAATAAATTCTGTTTGTCATACATATTTTTTTTATCCATCTCAAATATATATATATATTATTTTCGTCTGCAGTATCCATACATATTGTTTTCGTTTTCATTTCAGAAATGGTATACTTTGGGAGATCTTCTCTGCTGACCGCGTTGTTACTGTGGTCGTGGTTCGAGAACTGCGTTACCGGCGCAGACAACAACTACGACAAGAATGACGTGACCAAAGAGGAGGACAAGCCTCACTCACGGCAGAAACGTCTGCTGTGGATCACCTCGGACGGCCGCCTGGCCCTGCCACCAGGCACCGAGCTAACAATAACGCCATCTCTGTCCATGCCATTCGTCAGGTACCCGCCAGAAGGGTTCATGTCCAACATGAGCATCAGCTTGCCGTTCACGAGTAAGTGTGACGATTTGTATACATTGTTAATATATTAGTTATTTATTCATCCCCCTCATACCTAAAGTCAAAATATTCCGACTTTATTTTATGACGTCTGGTAATCAGCAGCAACGACGGCATAACCTCACTATTACTACCTATACAATTGAATCGTTTAACTGAAAACCCAATTGGCGGTGTGCTCAGTGTGTATACCTACTAATTTACTGCCCGTTCCCAAGTCCGCTTATTAACACAATATGTGGTCAGTATATTATTATAAGTTATTCATTATTGTGGTCCGAGATTTTATACCAATTTTCACGATAAACGTCATACACCTGCAGCATCACCTTGAAGTTCGATATTCAGATTTTTATCCATTGACATGTAACTTATTTATTAGTCACCCTCTTGATTTAAGTTTAAATTCTGACTTTAAGACGTCTGGTACTCATCAGGAACGATGACATCACCTCATTATTACTATAAAATTAAATCGTTGAACTGAAAAGTAATACTCTATTGACGGTTAGCTTATAATTTGTATACTGCACAGCGTATAAAGTACACCTATGATCACAATATGATGCGTTTAGAATAATATTTTAAATTATAAATTATTGTGAGTTGTGATCGGACCTTTAATGCCAATTCCGCGCAATGGGAACAACGAATACGACAACATCATATTATAATAATTATTGGGATGAATTTAATTTACGCCACTCCCCCACGTAGTTAAAATGATACATTTATTTTGCACCATTTTTTAAATGCTAAAATAGTAATTTGTTTAATTTTTATTCTGCCAAAATGGTAATTTTCACAACCGTTAAACAATTGATTTCGACATTATCAAGTAGACGACGATAGGTGGTAAAAATATCAATAGATGTGCAAGATTAGAAAATGCAATGCTAATAAATTGTATTCCAATTTCATATTTTATAATATTTGTCATAAACAATTAGTAATAAGAACTTGACTATATATAAATGTTAATGAAATACTTGATTTTACTTTATGTTAACTAACGAATACAAATTAAAATTTTAAAGAAAATTTAGATTTTTTAGTTGAGTAATAGGAATATCATAATACTTTTATATAATAATATAATCGTTATTATTTCACATAATTCTGAATTTTTCAGTGAGTTACGATGAACTCAGTGTGTTTCATTGATGTCTATTAAAATTTGAAGTGGCTCAAATTATATTATATAATTTGGATATCTTTCCAAGGAATATAGTTTTACCTATTTAGGTAAATTTTTGGACCCAACTCATATATATTACATAATGTACCTACTATAAACGTTTTTTTTTTTTGTTGAATTTTTGGTGCAAATTACAAACGACATCGCTTCTGTGTACCTACGTATTAATATATTATTTTTATTCGTACTGTGCAGCCCTGGACTATAGGTGGAAATCGTTTTATTTATACGCACATTATTACTATATTATGTTACTCGTCATGAGGAGCGTATTAGAAAAAAATTGTTAATCATGTTTATGGTACACACGATGTCCAATGAGAAATAAAATAATTTAGAAATTCGTGAACAATGTGATGGTGTGTAGAAATTTACACTTTTTGCTTAAGAAAATTTTTTCCATATAATTTTTCAACATTTTCCTTGTACCGGTGGTCATTTTATTCTTCGATTCCATCATCGTTCATTTTTTTTCTAGAATTTCTTTACAATATTGTCTTCGCAAAGACCACCGCTAGTTGGTGTTATACATAACTAGCTACATAATAAATGGTGTAAATAATATTCTAATAAATAAGTCGATTGGTCGGCAGTATAAAAAAAGGAACCCATCACTTTAGTCCGATTGAGTACTAGTGAGTAGGTATATTAAATAATTGTTAGCCTACTAATTACAGATGGTACAAATACAAATAGCTCGCGGAGTATAATCCATTTGCATAACCTAACATTATTTTTATTATTATAATTTATTCCTAATGATACGAATATGTACAATATTATAATGGGGAGTACTAGAAAACTGTCTACAGATAAGTGCACGTAATACCTACTGTGAATGTTGCATGTTTTATAATTATAAAGTCGAACGCATCGAAATAAATTACATATAATATTATTTAATCCGACAATTACAACTAGGTACTAAAGAAATATACTTAGCACTCACAATTTTAAAACACGGTATTTAATGTCATATAAATATAATAATAATAATATGTGAAATGTATTATTTAAAAAATATATATATTATTAATATTATGAACTCGCTTCAACGTTAGTCGATCGACCGGTCCTGTGGTTTTTAATAATATGCACTTAAACCATCAGATTATTCGTTTTGATTAGACGCAGGTGTCTTTCTAACCGTTTACCTATATATTATAGTATGCATCACTTTATACTTAAAATATTTTGAATTATTCAACAACAAAAAAACCACTCCACCGAAAAAAAAACAGAAAGAAAAAATCATGTTTGCTTCATTATATTATATTATTATATTATCATGTGACTAGTCCTATATTATGAACTTCACTTATTAGTTTTATACTGAAAATATTATTAATTTTTCCAAAAAGAAAATATTAAGTCTTGTTAGGTTCAGTACTGCACTACTGCCCCCTCATATGTAATATATATATAATATATAATATAATATGATATACCTATAACACGTGACCACTCCTATAATTATTATTATACCTCAAGACTGATGATGGGTTTCCGATATTCACACGATATGACGTCTCCGCCCAATCATTAAGCCGAACCGAGCTTACAATTTATACGTGCTTAGACAAACGACAAGAATCTGAGACCAGTTTATAGAGGATCGTTTACCAACATCGGTTAATTTTATATTTCCTACGGTCTCGATTTATCATCTCCTACAAAAGTAATGACAATTAAACGGGTACAATAATAACTTCCATGTAGATATAGGTAGATACTTGACTTTTCGGCTGCTTGATTATGTGGCCCGGTGAGACCATAATATAGGTACAATAGTAATTAGGTAGGTAATTACATCAGAATACTAATACAATATTTGTACACAAAGTTTAGTAGTGCACATCGTGGGTAAACGGACAGTTTGTACTATCTATTGTTTGAGTTGCATATCGCGGACACTTTGTACGGTGAAAATAATTTGGTAAAATTCGATCACGGACGTTTTGTACGGTATAAATAAACCGGGAAATATACCTTAAAAGATGAGATAAAATTTAATTGCTCAAAACTTTAGATTGCGAATCATGATCGCGATTAGTATGATACATGTGTTTGGTGTCACAGGCCACAGCATTAAAAGTATTAAAATATTAACTTATTCACTATATAAAATGAACAAAAATCAAACAAGCAAACTCAATCCAAAAATTTTTAAAAATGGGTATGAATATACTATTTTAAGAAAAAATCAATCTAATATTCGTTGGAAGTGTAATAAAGTGACGTGTACGGGGAAAGTTACAACCAACCTTAATGAACCGGTGAGTTATAAGTTAAAAATCATATTATTATCATAATACCTAAATCATATTATTATCAGATTTTTTGATAGTGCTTTTACTCCAGAACTATTTCCATTAATATTTTATTTTGAATCAACATATATTCAACATATAATCCAAGTTTCTGGACTGTTTTGCGCTCTTTGCAATTAGACAAATGCTCTAGTCATTTGAACAAAAACACAAGAAATAAAAACCAAAATACACAAAAGAAAATTCGTGATGCCTGTGTACAACATGAAAGTAAAATAATAACTAATTTACAATTGCTCGAAATAATTTGCCATACGTTTAATTTTTAAATATATATATTACGTATATAAAATACATACCACGAATTTATTACCATAAATATTATTATTATAATTATTTTTTTTTTTATATATGTTAACTACCTGTGTTTTGTAATAACAAATTAAACATTTTTTTTAAATAGTACAAACTGTCCGCCATGTATATTTTATTACTTTTTGAAATAGTACAAACTGTCGGCCATATATATTTAATTACTTTTTGAAATAGTACAAACTGTCCGCGGTTTTCATTTTTTGTGGGTGACCGTACAAAGTGTCCTACAACCCACATCGTGTGCTATATTTTGTTAGTCAATATTGTATTTTGTACTAAGAGTTCCAGGATTCTGAATTCCATTGAAATTTCTTTTTTCTACAAAAAAAATCTAATTTACCATTTTGATACACACAGATCTACTGTTGGTGATTTTTAATAGATATAAAATAAATTGTTGAAATGAGAAATACTTCGATAATCATAGTTTCAGTTTTTTTCGGTTAATTTAAAACATTGCTAAACGTCTGTCGTAATCGACGGTGTATCATGGTCCATCGACTATTACCACGTTTATTACGGCCTGAGGAGTCTCTATAGCTGGCCAGGTTAAACAGTGTAAACAGTGGAGTACGCAGAATTCTTTAATGGGGGGGGGTCACTATATTTTATATACATATAAAAAAAAAAAATTATTCAATTGTATTCTTTTTATATTTAAAGACATGCACAATACAATTTTTTTAAAATGTTTATTTTATGGTCTAAAAACACTAACCTATTAAGTTATAACTTAATATTAATTTGTCTCGATGATTTTGATAATTCATCTAGTACTGCGTCTGTGGAGATTTCAATATCCCGATGAATATTTATATTTAACATTGCTAACAAAATTAAGCGAGATTCTCCGGTTGTATTTCGTAGACAGGTTTTGAGACGACGAAGAGTCGAAAAAGTCCTTTCGGGTGTGGCCGTCGTTACTGGTAGGAGTAACAAAAATAACTAAAAGTTTTCGTATAATTGAAAATATTTTTTCATCACATACAAGTAAAGCTGAATGGGCATTTTTAAGATTGTCATTCATTTGGCTTACATAATTGCTGTTTCGTCGGCTAATATAGAAAAGACCCCGGAAACTTTTATCTTTGAAACAATTGAATTATATTATATAATAAACATTATATTATTACAACAATCGATTATTTCATTTTGGATTCTGGGATTAATATATGTTGCATTAAGTGATGATGTAGATATATGTTTTTTTTAAATTTATATCCCCACCTTGAACTCTTAATCATAATAAGGCACGAAAATGTCCATCGTTTTCAATCGGTTCTTTAAAATCAATAAATCCAGAACGTCTATGTAACTGAAGAGAAATATTTTGCCGTCCACAAAATATTATAGTTTCAATTATGGGCTACAATTTTGAACGATTATCTTGTATTTGTAGTTTTAAAGCAGAATCTAGTTGCAAATCTATCAAAATTTGTTTTTTTTTTCAGTAATAGCTTATCTATTCTGAGCACGAAGAACAGCCGTTTTATGACACTCGGTTATTTCATGATTGCGGAACATTTCTACAGCATTTTTCCATTTTGAAAAAGGGAATTTTACGAGAGATTTAAGTGAAACACTTCCTACACTGCCACGGTGCAAAGAAAAACTACACAATATTTACAATAAGCTCCGTCCGTTGTTTTTGAATAAGCTAACCCCTCCCATCGAGAAAACCAGTCAAATTGAAATTTTAAATTTCATTTTCCAGTTTTCCACTAATAGGAAATTCATAAGATTTATCCATTGGGTACCATAATCCTTTAAGTATAGATAACTTCGACTCATCTGACGTATGTGTTTGTTTAAAATAATTAGCAATATCATTATCATTCATATACTTAGTTTACTAACCGGGCTTTTTTTCTTTATTGTTTTCAACGGGTGTTACAGAATTTGAAGTATTAGATTCGTCTTCGTCTTCACTCGTTTCCTTTTTTATTTGAAAAACATCGTTAGAGTAGTGTAATTTTATTTTATTTTCTTATCACTCATATTGAATAAAAAATAAATAAAAAAAAATAATAAAAAAATGAATTACGTTTAAAATAATAAATAAATAAATTATGTTTAAAATATTAAATAATTATATAAATACAAACATATTGAACACAGAACGAGAGTTCAAAATAAAATGAAATCGAGCGAGTATATTCACGTTGATTAGCGTAATCGACTAGTACCTAATCATTGATCGGTTATAAAGTAGACTAAATCTGAAACTAACTATAATTTTGTATATAAAAACTGTTTGGAAAAAATAATGTTAACTATTTACTCAGATAAAACCCTAACAGAACTAAAATCCTGAGTACGCTACTGACTAAGCCTACTGTAATATAAAATATAATCAACCTACAACTACACAGATAGGTCAGACATCTGTACTTGTAGTCTTGGTAATTTATAAACTTTTGAATGTTGGTAATGTAATAAATTCAACTTCATTAATAATAATTATTCGAGTAATGTATGCAGTTTTACTTTCCACAACTACACTGTTTCCCTACAACAATATATTCATTTATCTCAGACTTTCAGAGACTCATATTTCTCCCAACTCAAGCTATGACATTGTTAACATAAAAATATAATTATAGGTACACAACCTTACAACATGCTCGGTTAACAACAACATAATAATATAATAATATAATAATATACCGTCACAGTAAAAAATTCTTAAGCCCGAACAATAGTGACAGTGTACCTAATATTTAGACTTTAGAGAGATGACATTTACGACCCATACAAATTTAAATATATTTTCAATCGCCCTGCCGTGTACAATAAAATAAATGACAATTAATATTTGAATCCCTTATAGTTGCGAACACACGGGAGAACCTGATTTATGATTAACGTATTTTCAAAATATCTGTACTCACGTGTTTTGTTTCTTATATTTTAGTCAACTTCGATACTTTGGGGCTGACCGACAATCAGAACCCGTTCGGCGCCTTCCCGCAAATATTGGCCAGGAGCATGGGCAGACAGACTGGGTCGGCACTCGTCGACTATGTGTCTCAACTTATGCGCGGCCGGAGATCGGCTAGATCCCTTCCAACTTTACCCAAACCGATACACTGGTACTTCCATGGAGGTGAAAGGTAAGCAGTAAAATGATGCATAACATAATATGTACCTATAAATATACCATTTGAATAGTTCAGGAGAACACGGGACGAAATACTATATCAATATATTCAAAATAATAGTTGCCGCATTTATGTAATTATGTTCCAGTATTAATCTCGCGTTCGTAAATTATTACGATTTTAATAATGTTTTTTAAACTATATCTTATAAATTATAATCATTGGTTACGACTTTACGAGTGATATTCAATGCGAACAGATCACTGTTGACGATTTACAAATATGTATTATTTTAGCACACAGCATAATTGTATATTATGTTACTCTTGATCAGACTACGCATAAATCTGTTCGCTAGAATGATTTTAACAAACGATTTAATTATATATTGAAAACCATAAAACATAAATATAATGTGAAATTTGTAAATACTAAATACCTTCACATCACATATTCTATTTGAATAAATAATATTATCAATTTTATAATTTCAAATAAATTAAATACACAAAAATAAATTTTAAATATTTATATTATAGTTAAATAGTTATTGTTAATATGTATACATAATAAGGATATCATACAGTGTATAAATTAGGATAATTTTGTGGTTTTGTGTCCATAGGCATATTTTTAATTGTTAACTTAAAATTAATATCTCTTCTCCAATAAACTAAAATAAAAATCGTTATTCGTCTACCTACTGTTTACAATTAACTTCATATACCTATGTAGTAGATATGTCTATGACATGTTTAACTTATTTGAATTTGAAACCAAAAAAATATTCTAAATTATACACATGATAATATAATTGTTGTTATATCAACTTAAGTACTGTTTAACTAGAAAAGCAGCAAATATACAACGAAAACTTGATTGTATCTCTCAAGCACAACTACCGACTATACCATGAACACGAGATCTATAAATTTATGTTAGAGCTGTTAATATTTGTATCTGCACCAGTACATAATTTCATATCAATTTTTGTAATTTAAATTCAAATATAGCATCAGTTAATCGCCACGGAATATGCGTAGCAACCCCTAAAATGCAGAAACATACATTGTTATAGAAAGAAATACGACCGAGTTAATTATGAGTTTAAGTGTTAGCATTAATATTTCAACTAGCATTAATAAATAAAAATTTACTTACTAAAAGTAAAACGTAAATAAATTTAAAAACTTTTTTTTTATAAATCATTTAAAGATACAATAAAATTGTTGAATTGTGTACATTTATTACATATTATATTATGTTATAAAAATGCATACAACTAATTTAATTGTATGCTTCTAAATAACAATACATCAAACACTTTTTTATAAATTTAACTGTATTATTCTTGTTGTGACACGTAGATCATTAACTTGGCATCTAGGTAAGTAGTAATGAAATTCGAAAAATATGTGTTTTCTATATTTAAATCAATCGTTAGAAAAGCAATTTTCACAAAAGTTAAAATAGCTTTCCACGAGGATCGTAGGTACAGTTCACAGCAATATCAGTTTCAAAACCAATGTAAGTACACCCTACGCGGCTACCCACCCATATCGTGTGAAAACTCATTTCACTGTATGTTCTTACTCGCATAGGCATGTTTACTGATATGACCATGGCCATCATGATACCTGAGAAATCGGCTTCTCGCAGAATTTCGAATCAATGTCGAAAAAATAAGCACAATAGTAAAAAAAGTAAAATATTTAGCGTCGACGAGTAACTTTTTTTTGGATTCACATTTCAGGGAGCTAGACATCTGGTTGTAGGACACTTTGTACGGTCACCCAAAAAAAATGAAAACCACGGACAGTTTGTACTATTTAAAAAGTAATTAAATATATATGGCGGACAGTTTGTACTATTTCAAAAAGTAATAAAATATACATGGCGGACAGTTTGTACTATTTAAAAAAAATGTTTAATTTGTTATTACAAAACACAGGTAGTTAACATATATAAAAAAAAATAATAATAATAATAATAATAATCTTAATGGTAAAAAATTCGTGGTATGTATTTTATATACGTAATATATATATTTAAAAATTAAACGTATGGCAAATTATTTCGAGCAATTGTAAATTAGTTATTATTTTACTTTCATGCTGTACAGAGGCATCACGAATTTTCTTTTGTGTATTTTGGTTTTTATTTCTTGTGTTTTGTTCAAATGACTAGAGCATTCGTCTAATTTCAAAGACCGAAAAACAGTCCAGAAACTTGAATTAACCGATCCAACCAATTTATTGAACGAGCTGTTCCATCCTTCACTAAAATTATTCGTCCTGTGTGAGTTCTTAATTGTTGGGTGTCTGACATTCCAAATTTCAAGAGGAAATCTTGATAATTTGTAAATAATTCATACTATGAAAACATACAAAAGTATTTTAAAAAAATATGATAATAATATGATTTAGGTATTATGAAAATAATATGATTTTTAACTTATAAGTTATAACTCACCGGTTCATTAAGGTTTGTTGTAACTTTCCCCGTACACATCACTTTATTACACTTCCAACGAATATTAGATTGATTTTTTCTTAAAATAGTATATTCATACCCATTTTTAAAAATTTTTGGATTGAGTTTGCTAGTTTGATTTTTGTTCATTTTATATAGTGAATAAGTTAATATTTTAATACTTTTAATGCTGTGGCCTGTGACACCAAACACATGTATCATACTAATCGCGATCATGATTCGCAATCTAAAGTTTTGAGCAATTAAATTTTATCTCATCTTTTAAGGTATATTTCCCGGTTTATTTATACCGTACAAAACGTCCGTGATCGAATTTTACCAATTTATTATCACCGTACAAAGTGTCCGCGATCGATTTTTACCAAATTATTTTCACCGTACAAAGTGTCCGCGATTTGCAACTCCAACAATAGATAGTACAAACTGTCCGTTTACCAGACATCTTATTGTCGACGATTATAAATTGATATAGGAATATTTTTGCAGGCCACATCAGCTGTAAATGAATTCTAAACACGTTTATGCCTATACGCACTGTGTATTATTATAATGGACACGCGTTAAACACTTAAATACTTACCATTATATAATATTACTTTACATAATAATATGATACGCTTAATGATACGTAATTTTTTCGATAACCACTGATAATACATCATAATTATATATACGGTAGGTACTTACCTTAAAGATGTAAAATTTAATACATTTTTTTATTGGTAAACAATTAAACAAAACAATTAAATATGTATTACAATGACACATCATCCACTTAAAATTAAGATTAAAAGTATAATAGAGACATAATAAACAAGTTTCAAGTTTCAATGCTTGAATTCGAATTTACCGGTAAATTTACTAGGTAAAAATTTACCTAGCTTACATCTCTAACCTACCTACATAATATTATGCTCACACCTCATTCTCGTTTCTCGATGTTACAAGGCTAAATAGGTATAGGTATACTTACGTTTCATTCGACCGACGCTAAACTCATCACGTGCATGTATAAATATTATTATTAAACATAATATTATGTGTATATATGTAATTTATAGATCACATCAGTTATAAGGAATAACCACCGTATTAAAATTCTGACTAGAAACCGCCGCAGATAGCGGTTACTCGGAGTAACCTGTTCGGTTCAAGTTCAAGAGCACCTCGCGCAACAGGTTTCTTGAGCCTACTGCAACAATTTATTGTTTTAAAAGTAAAACAACAAGAACCGTTTACCGCCGACTGTTGACCAATTAAAATGGATAATCGTATTATGAAATGCGTGCAAATAGAACATTACCGACCTTTCCGGCCCTCGGCGTTTCCTCGGAAATAAATAATAATAATAACATAATAATACGTCAGAGTAGTCAGAATGTATACGATAATTATTATTATTATTATGAAACAGTATCACGCACACATAAGTATATATTATATGTGTGTGTGTGTGTGTTAACGTCAGATTCAGAACATTATTTTTGAAAATACGACTCCTCTTACAATATCGCGTGTTATGATGTGCAATACAATATATTAATATAGTATATTATTATCTTTTCAGAGCTCTGATGTTCACCGTCGTCGAGGACATGTTGACGAATTTCGGAATGGACGGCAAAGCGTGTCTGCTCCGAGCCATATGTGAAGTTCACGGGCACAAGTCCATACACAAATTTGGTTTCCTCGGCGAATTTATTCAACTGTTCTTCACGTAAGTCCTACAAATACAAGTTGATATACGATCGCTAACGAAATCGAATACGATATCACGATGTGTATACCTATGATACTGTATCATAATTATTTTCCGTTGATTTGATAATATCGTGACTGCGTCCATAATATTGCAAGTATAAAAACACCAATGACCAAAGGTGTTGTCGTGGTTGGAGAAAAACGACTTTCCAATGAAAATGACACCAACTTTTAGGTAAACAACTTGCAGAAGACACGATTATGTATAAGTGAAGGCATCGGGTCATTGCATAAAATGCAAGCCGGGGATTTTTTTTTTGAATAAAAGTTTTTTTCAATCGCTATGAGCTCTGAGCACACACGGCCGACAAAACAAACAACCGGTAATATATTATAAATGAAGGGGTGATAATTGATCACAAACGTAATATTTAAATATGAGCTTACCATAGGTAATGAAACTATCACAAAAAAAAAAATAAATTAAAATAAATTACAGAAAACTATTAATGTAGGTACTACCTAATGTATTATCAATATTATTATATTAAATAGTCAAGGATATTTTACATATGTAGCCAATAATAATGCATGCCTAGACTGCTGTTTGATGTATAGAGATTACAGACATTAGGCTATACGTATAAAACAAAATAAAATTTGAAAAAAAAAAATTGTGCTTAAAAATTACGGGCAGAAGATTTTAAAATTTAAATACCATTTACAACACAACATTTACAAGATATGTAGAATAAAAAAAAAAAAGAAGATTATAGTAATCATAATAATAATAATAATAATAATAATAATAATAATAATAATAATAATAATAACAATAATAATGAAAAATATATTATAATTCTTATTTCGAGTGATTTTTCCGTTTGCAAATACAATCTTCAGACCAGAGATAAAAATACAAAATCATAATATAAAAATGTGTATTTTTTATTACCTTCTAGCTATACTATTATAAGATATTATGTCGAATAAGTTCTCACAAAGTTTTAATATTTAAAAAATAAAACATATAAAATACCGTTTATTTGTTAGGTGGAATATTTAATTTGAAAACATTTTCTATTTAGGAATGTAAGTATAAGATACCTACATTTTAAGTAACCATACTTGATGTGTCCAATCCTGTTGTGCGCATGGTTAGATATGTTCAAATCAGTTCTCGGCGCACCCATGTCAGTGTCGACCTAAAAATTACCATAATTTATTAAAAACCATCTAGGCGTATTAAAATATATTATAAAAACGATTTAAATAGTTGAAATGTACTGTGGCTGGAAGTCTTTCTTATACTATTGTAAATCACTAGGTAATATGGTATTTTTTGTTAATATATTTTTGACACGTTTCATCAATAACAAAATATCTGAACAGTATAATCGATTAGAATAAAAAAAGGACAATATGTGAACAGATAGGTACACCTATCACATTGGAGGCTATCGAAATAATTAGAAGACCTACCTATTTGTTTACAAAACCAAACAGTTTATCGCCGTCCCAATGACCGTCGTCCCTCGTTAGAAAAAAAAACAGATATCGATCTCAAAAACTCCCTATGGCAAGTAGTACTCAGACGTTTGTGACATAACTACTTTTTTTAACTTTATTAATGACAAATGCATTGACAATATTGACAACATTTTAATTGACAACATGCATTTTAATTCCTATAATAAACAATATTATGTCTATTAATCAGAATAATCAGAAAAATCGAATAATAATAACAGGTAATACAATATTTCTGTAATTATTTTGCAGGGCAAGTAAATCGACATACGCTGATTTATTGGACGAATACGTGACTGCCGAAACCATCGGAAAACAAAGCAAAGAATGTTACCCTTACTTCAAGGAATGTCCTAAGTCGTTGTTCACCAACAATCATAACTATTCGTAAGTACCTACTACGACCGTATACGAAATATTGTATAATATTTAATAATAAATTATAATAATACTTAATAGTACTATAGTAGTGATGAGAAGCATAAAGTGGCCATTTGAGTTGTAATTCCTGCAGTATAGCTATGAAGGAGCGTAAGCAATTTGTGCCAAAAACCAAAAAAAAAATAATAATGTAATTGACTAAAAATCTAAAAAATAGAGTGTGTTAACATTTTTTGTGCCACATAAAACGTCATAAAAGAGCATCGTGTAATCTGCGCAATATTGAAGATACAAACATTTAATTCACACCTTTTTTCACCAAATAAAATTGTAATTTGCGCCACTTTAAAATAATTGATAATAATTTTTTTTTTTGAAACTTATTCGTATGTATTTTATTCATCAATCAAGTTAATTTTAGTAGATATGCGTTTCAAGAAAAATATTAAAATGTACATAAAGTAAAATAAAAAATCCATGCCGATTTTAATAATAGTATAGTCTTACCGCGTACTTTGTGAATACATGAGTAATATTTCAGTTAAATAATAATATAATATGTAATAAAAATCAAGAATATTATAGATTATAGTTCATTATTGTCCAATTATTCACTTTCATGTGGTTGATAGTCAACCATATTATTACTATTCATATATTATGATGATTATTATTGATGTGAGCTTGCGGGTAAATTTATCAGGTAAATTCCAGCGATTGAAATTGAAAGAGTGGAGCATATATCTAGGTACCTACATATTATGTAATTTCGTGTCCAGACTTGCCGTAGTTTGCAAAAACTAATATTTAGATGTTTCACAAATAATATCATGTTATTTCTTCATATTTTGGCCCAGATCACAAATAGGTACGCACTATTAAATGTGTGTGTTGGCAGAACACATTACAAGCACTTGAATATTTGATACATGGCATATTACCAGAAAATAGTTTTTAAAATCACGGTGTTTTGTTATTTAAAAAAGTTTAAATGTTAATTGTAATGTAACACTGGTATTCGTTAAATTTTATATATTTGACGATCAAAAAGTAAAAATTTGTTAAATGTGAAGAAAAAAATTCTTTATTTATTTATGATATTTTATGTATTATACATTAATACTCGCAAAAAAATCGGCTAGTTATTTAATTTATTATATAATTATAATTTATAACTAATAACTTTTCCTTTGGTAGTTTAAAATGTTTTGGGAGCAATAAATTGGTCTATTGACCATAAAATGTATAAAGAACAATTAGTCTATCGAAACTAAAATGTTTAGAGCGCTATTGGTATATGAAAAGGTCATTTTAAGCGCAATTAGAAAACTCCTGTTTAATTTACCAACTAAAAGTAATCATTTTCGTTAAAATGAATATAAATATAATATAATTTATATATATAAAAAAATATTAGAACAGAAGTTATTATGCGCAGTTGGTTAATTGTATACCTAATTAACATATTTTTGTTTATTTTTTCTGTTACAACATGCAGAAACCAAACACGCTCTGCGGATAATTTGTGTTGTACGCCCAAAAGGATTGATATGCGGATCAAACCAGATGTCAGGGATAGGGTTTATTAAAGTAAAGAAATTTAAAAAAAAAAAAAAAATTTGTTAGTCTATCCTCGAACTCATCCGCATGAGGTTGTCTTCGAGGAATTTTATTTAGCCCGCAGGAGGGAAATTTGGTTATTTTTTTCGGTGAATTATATAAGAGGTTTCCTTTAATTTTGATTAAATCTTTTGATTTCTACCTCTCTAACATGTATACATAAAACTTTGGCGGATGTCGAGAACTTGCGCCGAATGCCTATAGAGTGACCCTCAGAAAATATTAATCGCGGTGATAATAGGATATGCTTATATTTATAATTTATGTTTGATATTGTCAAGTAATTTATATCACGCCTACTTTAACGCATCGTTTGCTGTTGGTTCCAGGGAAAACGATCTTTCACCCGACGACGAGGACGAAGACGGTGAATCGGTGTCGGCCAATAACGATGACGGAAACGAAAACGAGGTCGACGACGACCGGAAGAAGTCGTCGTCTGCAAGCAGTGGACCAAAAGTGGCGGTGAAACCGACACCGTTGGCCATGTGAATCGGTCGTCTGAATTTATCACTCTCCGCCGCGCGCAATGTTATCGTTGAACAATCGTCTCCCGAACGTTTTTCATTTGTATAATAATATAATTTTTTAAGTGTGCTTTGTGTTTGTGTGTGTCTGTGCGTGTCCGGAAAAACTAAATCTTTTCACTAGTTTTTTTCCCCTAACGCCGTCCCCCTATCTATCCCACCAATAACGTCCTACCCCTCCCCCCCGTCATTCCGCAACAGCGGCTGTACGTCGTAAACGGTCCACCGGGACTTGTGTCTCTTCTACTCGATCGTGAGGGTTCCACGCAATCGAATACCAATATACAGAATACAATGTATTATATACGTATGTCGTATATATATATTGTTATATTATCGGACTCGTCGTGATGCGTTTTCTCGAGATAATTCACGAGGAAATCCTTTCTCATCCACACTCGCCCGTTTTATTCGACTGGCACGCAAGTGCCGTTAAAAAATCGACCACTATATAGAAGAAAGACCATAGCTATAATAATATAATATAATGTCACAAAACAATCACGATAAAAAATGATGTCCGGAAATTCAGATCCCCGACGACCACCTCTATTTAATGTTATTATTATTATTATTATATACGCGACTTCGTCTAAATAATTACATCCCGACACGCATAATATTATTATACACGATACACTGAATAGGGACATTCGAAATTCAAGCTGGAGGCGTCTTTGCCTACGATATTACGCCGCTGCCTAGAGCGTATCATTATATTTTATTTATAATATCATTATTATATTATACGCATTAAAATATCATAATTATTATTATTATTATTATTATTATTAATATTTATTATTTACACACAGTTATCGCTATTCGCACCGAAACGTAACAAAAAGAGGACTGTTTCAAAAGTATTTTTTCTCTTTTTGTTTCGTTTCGGATCATAATATATTATTATAAATATTACTATATATATATATATATACACCACATAATATATTATTATATTATATATATATATTTAAATACGCAAACACAAACAAATGTATAGTTGTAGTCTTAGTAAAATCTAATAGCAGTAATAATATTTCAGCAGTTGTAATAGAGTAGTTATAATATATTATATAGTTGTACCTACCTAGTAATTTATAGTGTTTTTAGTAGGCACGTATAACATGGGTATACGTGCAGGTAGGTCTCGTACATGTCATAGTATTATATATTATATTGTATTAATGTTGTATTCTCAAAATATGTAGCTTATAGGTTGTGCCATCGTCCATTTAGTTTAATTCCATAATCAACCTATTATGATTATTATTTATATTTATTTATTTATTTATTTATAATATAATATATAGATTTTTCAAACGTGTTGTATTTTATCAATATACTACCTATCTATACATAATATATTATTATATATTAACCCAACCGTTGTAGATAAGTAGACTATATTTTATTATTATGATGTACCTAACGTGAATTATATATTATTATTATGAAATTGTACTGTTATTTAAAATATTACACACGTGTTAATATCGTATAATGATGATTATAATTTATAATATATTTTGTCTGACGTAAATATATACATACCTATATAATATATATCGTATTTCTATTGTTGTATTATAATCTAAATTAATAAAAGGTTATGTGTGTGTGCGCGCGCCCATCACATGGATGTGAAATTTGGTAATCCTATACGGCTATACCCGAGAATATGCACCTCAAACTGGTTCAAAGTCAAATTTTAAAATGTTACATTTTAAAGAAGGGCTCGCACAGGGATTTTTTGCCTTACGAATAACTCGTTTGCATAGGGACAGGGTTGCCATAATATGGTTACAAAAAATAAAATAGTTATTATAACTGGATATAATTTTAGACCTGTAATTAATCGTCATAGAAATGAAAATCAACCAGGCACGTATACAGGGGGATTTTGGGGGTTCAACCCAACCTAAAATTAATAGTTGTGTAATTTATTTATATATATAGATTATGACCCCCCCCCCCCCCGATTTTTTTGTGTACGCGCCCAAAATCAACAATAAGAAAATATCAATGATTCCTCAATTTTCCTTGCAGATGGTAAATATCTATAGAAGCTTGCTACTAGATATTTTTTAAATATTAATACTCTCACCGGTGAGCATACCCTGTGAATTCAAATACAAATACAAATTATTGTCGAATTAGGAATTCATGAGCATCAATTTTATTCCTTACATCAGAGTAGACCATTATTTTTCTTTCATGTTTCGCCACTACTATCTCTCTCTCTCTTTCTCTTTAAATTGATCCCCGTCACTACGAATAGAGTTATGTAATTTTTTTTCTATAGTTTTTTCTATAATTTCTGGTTGTAATCAAACATGGACATAATAATTTCAACACATTTATATTACACTTAAGCTATTATGATACTATTATGATCAGACTAATAGGCTGTAAAGTAAATCAAATTATTCTAATTTAATCGAAAACTAGATTTGAGAGTTAATAGTAGCCAGTAGGTATATTAGGTGTAGACTGTGGATATACGTCAATAGATAGCTGATAATTGATAGCGCGACAATTCATAGCGGTCAATTAATTGCACGTAAATTGATCGTCAACGACTTTTCATAGTAGGACAATTTGTAGGGCCGTATAGAATTCAATAAAAATAATGATAAAATAAACTATTTAAAAAAATATACTAATAGTAAAAAATATTACAAGTCACAATTAAAATTAAACAATATTTATATTGCCTAAAAAAAGTTGTAATATACAAATTTAATTAATGGATATTATAATACAATTATTTATATTGCCTAAAAATAATTATACCTGTAGCTGGAAATTATGTTCTATGCCTCTTAGATAGTCTTCAATTGTTCTATTTTCATAATCTAAACAAATTTTTTTGATTTTAGCACTTCGATCTTTATATATTTTTTTTGATGGTGGTTCCATCCCAGCTCTATTTTCATTCTATTTACTTGCTCCTCTTTTTGCAACGCATTTATGAACTTCCATATTGTTGGGTGGGATGAGGAGCTTAACATTGCAGAAAAACAATTGTGCCGCCCTTCTACGGATCTACGGAGTTATTTGTTCGGGGTAAATCTAAAAGTAGCACTGTTATATTATGGTGTTGTACGTGGTTGTACCAACTGACAACTGATATACACCTACTGTATAGTATAGGACATAGGTATTGAATATAGTCTCATTATCTTTATTGCCTATATTATTTTAGATAGTAATATTAAGTTTCCGATTCTGATATATATCGGTTTTATTAGGTTTTATTTTATTTAAGAAATCTATACGCTATAAATTGTCATACCATCAAAAGTCGCTCACGATCAATTTACGCGCTATAAATTGACCGCTATCTATGGTCGCGCTATCAATTATCCGCTATCTATTGACGGGACACCGTAGACTGTACACAAAAGGCATTTGGATAAGCATAATTAAACATAATTTCTAAAACCTATATTATATTTTATAATATTATAGTTTAGGTACAGTGATCTGGTTGACTTTTCGTCGAAATTTCTCATTACACTTGCTCTCGAAGTACTCGAATATCAAATAACGGAAACATGTTTATGTATTATTTCAAAATTTAAATACAACACTATAATTAATCAACGTCCAACTTATACTCATATTGTTCAGTCTTGACGATTGCCTGCGGTCGGTCGCCCCACGATTAAAGATAATATACAGGTTGCACATCGCCCTATAATAAACGGCTTTCAGATTGATTTACAAAGTGACTAATCGGTTAATTGTAATACTACCGCTTGGAGCGCCACTGGTTAATTATTGGTAGTCATTTCATATTTCACCTTATAAGTTTAACTTACTGAGTAGTCGATGTGCGACCTGTATATCTTTAATTGTGATCGCCACGTAAAATATAGATAAGCGCGAGCGACAAGCTGCGTTGATTACGACGATATACGTTATTAATTTTAGTCTCTGCAGACAGCTGCGATCGAATGCATTGTCAATCGCCGAGTCCTATAACTCCGGCAATAGTCAGAACAAATTGTAAATTATAAAATAAAATGTTTAAAAAGGTATATGTTTAATAAATCATTTAAAATTAACATGATAATATAATACTTGTATTTTATTTTCTAAATTTAATCTACAAAGTTCAAATTACCGTGCGTTCAATTTCGTAAAAGTTACGATTGCCGTACGGCCCGAACACATATTGATTTCTGAAGTATTTGTATTTCAACAGGTTTTTATCTTTTGATTTTACCGGTTTTCACTGAATATTATATTACATATATTCGTATGCAAGCATAATATAATGAAATATAAATATGTTTATAAAATATAATATTTGTCATGTGATCTTTATCGTTTGACAATAAACAATTTTCTTCTACACTAAATCCATGAAGCTCGCTACATTCTAAAAAACTTCTCCGAGTCCATATCCGAGACAGTAGGTATAGATAGTCCGGACAATGACACTCGCTATATGCCTTGTGCGTAAGACATTTAATCGATTTTATTTTATTTAATATTGCATTTTAAAGACCTGTTGACAAACCGTATAGTGTACTAGTCAATAAGTTCAATTTGAATATAGTTAGGCATAATAGGAAAGCTGGGGTAACGTTACCACGTATCACGGGCGTGAGGAAATCGTTTCACACATTTTTGATGTGAAAACGTCTTATGACGTTCTTATAAAACGTCTTATGGCGTTCAGACTTTTCCGTTTGGACAGCGAAAGTTTTCGAGCGTTACCCTTTTCGCGTAACGCTATAGCTCTGCTGACCTGCTGATTGGTGGAGACTCGGTGCGACGCAACGATAGGCCGACTTGTGCACAGGAGGCGTGGCTTCATTACGATCGCAAAAAACACCGAAAATTCTTTTGCCACCAACACTCTAATTTGGACGTCGGACTGGCCGTCAACCTTGGAGGTAGGTCGAGATCGGAATTCGTGCCGAGCAAATTTTCTATGGAGGTAATATTTTC